CGTTTGCCCGGGGTCAGGCTTTGGATTTCGGGCTTGGATTTCGGGCTTGGGGCAAGACGGAATTGAAAACTTGCCACATGTCAATCTTGCCAACCCTGTGTGGGGTTTAGCATCAACCTCGGACAGTGTGTACTGGCTGTGAACGCCGTCGAGGCTTTTGCGATCACGAGCAACTACAAGATTATGTACACCTGTGGAGCACGCGATATTTTGATCTGTGGTACTTCTGCGGATAGTTTTTGTCATGTTATTGTGAACATCAAATGCTTCTTCCATCGACGCTGGCTGTGAGCAAACATGAGGTCGGACTGACATGCAGTCCAGGAGATCATTACGACCTTGCGAGATTCAGCTACCGGAAATGTTCGAGGAAGAAGTCATCGCCAGGATCGGTCCCGACGTCAGCTCTCCCAAGCCTCGAGGAAGACCCAAGCCCAAGCCGCCCAAGCCGCCCAAGCCGCAAGCGCCGTGTCTCCCGAGCCTGAGCTGCCAAGCTTCGGCTTAGCCGGGCTTTTTGCCATGCCCGGTCGATCTCGACTGTGCTCATGTAATCGCTAGCCTGTGCCAGATATCCCATGGTCACGTGCTTCCTTGCGGCCTCAAGCAGTTCAACCGGCTGCCCATTGTCAAACACCCGCGGGGCACATGGATTTTGCAGATCAAGGCCATTCCTGGCGATGAAATAGGCCAGGTTGAGGCCCAGACCCTGCATGTCTGCTTGAGACACACGGATGTGATTTCCCAGCCTTCCGTCCATCGGCTGTGCATGCCCCTGAAAGTATGCATAAGCAGCCATGGCTGCTGCATGATCTGTAAAGTTCACAAAGGCCAGAGCCACATTCTTTGCCTTGGTCTTCCCAAGCGGCACGTACACGAAGTCATACCGGCATGACCAATACTTGTTCATTATACCCAACAAGGCTTCAGAGGTCAGCTTTGACGGCAGGCGTCTCAGCATGATGGCCGTGGCGCCAGGAGCGAGAAATTGTATCCGCTGCCCCAGCAGGTCGAATGACATCTCCATCCGCAGCAGGAGGCAGTTTCTACTGGATAGGACTTCGACGATCCGAGTTGCTTTCGAAAGGAAAACATGCTGAGTCTGGATGAAGGTCACTACCCTACATCCGTGAGGCCTACGGCTCTACAGACAAATCTAAAATGCCCCCCCCTGTTGACATCTCAGTGTGTGTGTGTATCCCAGAAGTCCAGGCTCGAAGACTGGAGCCGTTTCCAGCGTGCCTTCGAATCCTGGGAACACTGAGGCCTGTTTGATAGACCCCCGTCTTAATACCGAAATGCCACAACACTCGAAGGACAGAGGGGCTCCCATGGTAGATATCATCTTCTCCAGAATAACAACGACATTGAATTCTGGAGCAGCACTTAACAGTCAGTTGTATGGTTACTTGAATTATGTGCATTCTGTATACCAGTATCAGTAGAACTGCTGCGCCGCTGCCATTGCTGCTGCCTGCTGCCCGCTGCTACTCCTGCTACTGCTGCTATTGCTTCCACTGCTGCTTGCCACTGCTACCGCCACTGCTGCGCCTGCTGCTACTACTACAACCAGAGCAACCTCTTTGCCCCGTGACATACCGCATCATCACCACCATGCTGCATTACCAGGTCCACTTGGCTGGAACTTGCATGTCGTGGTCGCTTCAGTGTGTGGGAACTTGCGATCTTCCTCGGCGAACCCTAAAAGCAACCAGAGGGAGGCTCGGAGTGTATTCGTAAGGATGCGAGTTGCTCTCGACCTCCACCTATAAGCCTCCTCCCCGGAGCCTTGATCAGCCCCGCAGTGGGCTCGTAGGGGTAGCCGTCCTGGTCCTTGGGCAAGTCCTGAAGCGTGTAGGCAACGATCAAAACAAAAAGCCCTGGAATGGCGAAGTCAATTCGGCCAGGATTGCCCTGACAGTGGGTGTGGGGGTGCTGTCTGCTGCCACAATAAGCAAAGATTGGACAGGGGTTACGACACTGGTGTTGCTCGATGCCTTCAGTGACGAACACCCCATACCCCAGCATCTGTCACCTTCGAGCCCGAAACTCCGAAAGCTTGCATCGAACGGAGCCGCTACAAAGCCATGGGACTCACATCCGAACTCGCATGAACAATGTTTCTCTTCTGAACTGTGGCAGACAGCTCCGGGCACCGGCTGAACCTGATCCACTTCACAGACCCCTTTCACGAGCACGATTATACAGCGTGATCAGTAGGACAATCCAGGGCATGGTACCAATTCTCCGCTTGTGACTTACTTGCATGCAAATTTTGTTTTTTGTAGAATCCTGCCGCAAACACAGATGAAATCGCCAGACACTGAATTTTGCAAGCGAACTTAAGTATGCAAGACGAAGCGTGCGAACCCTAACACATCCACCATTAAAGCCGGCACCCTCTGTCACCCGGTCCTCGAGGAGGGGGAACCCTAGCTGACCCATCTCACCGCTGCCCCAGGAATGCACCTGTCAGTCGGCTGTCGGGCCCCGCTTCGGGAATGAGACCAGAGGTCGCAATGTGGGAAGATTTGCTTGCATCCCACACGGCACATCGCCTGTCTATGCCTGTGCTGATCAGACATGCACTCGATCTCTGATCATTCATCCATGCTTAGAGCTGCTCGGCACCATCATGCGCCACTCTGTGCTACACTCTTCTTGGTCCCTTCACTAGCGGGTACGCAGCCGAATCGAGCAGAATCGGAATGGCGCTCGTCCCACTTCGATGCACAGATACGTGCTGGTGTTCTTCATTTCACAGCACATTCCTGTAAACTCGCTCGGTGCCTCCCCTGGGATATCCAAATGAGCCCTGATGACATCTACACAACTGAACGCTTGGGGCCACACATAGACCACAACCTGCCAGAAACCTACGTCAGCCCGATATCAGTCGTAACGACAAAAAACCGTGCATCACTCATTGCCCAGTGAGCCGCTGAAAAGAAGTCGGTCTCAATGTGCCGACAATCACCAAGAGACAGAGGAAACACCAAGGACGGCACATCTCCACCGATCGGAAGTGCCTCAACCCAGGTTCCGGCTTGTATCCATTATCAGGTGCTGCACGCTTGTTTGCACACTCGTGGAAAGCGGGTAGGTCAACCCCGTAACAACAAAAGCCGAAAAGCCCTAGCCTAGAAGACCTCAGCCCCATCTAAGAATCTAAGGTTGCGTTGGGTAGCTTGGCATGGCAAGGTTTACAGGAAGAGTAATCAAATATTTATGACCTGTCAAGCAAGGGCGGCACTGCTGGGCTTAGGCTACTCAGCCTTTCGATGAGTAAATTCTGCAAAAAGGATCACCGACACGAGGGTGTGCGTGGGGGGAGTGGAGGGGGTGGGGCGGTGCTGCTGTTTTCCTTGATGTTGTTGTTGGCAGTTCTTTCCGCCGTTGTCGTTGTTGCCCTTGTTGTCCTTGTTGTTGCAGTTGGAGTAAGGCCCATACAGCCTTGCAGCACGAACAAACTCCGCACTGATCCCCAAAACCTAGTTCGTAATGTGCTTCAGCTCCTGGTATGGATGTTCCGTCCGTTGTTTCACCCGGGAGACGTGCTGGTGTGCAGCGGGCCAAATCCGCTTCTGTGCAATCTGAAAACATGTTGTCAGGAAGGGCAGGTTCCCATGAGCCCATGTCGGACTCGCATGTGGCGGTAACGGTTGTGGTCGTGGCTGTGACGGCCGTCGCCGTTATGGTTGCAGTATGTTCGGTTCTCGTTGTCTTCGCCCCTGGTGCTGTGTTGCTCCTCCTCCTCCTCCTCCTCATCCTCCTTCTCATCTTCCTGCTGCTCCTGCTGCTGCCGTCACTGCTCCAACTCTGGCTCCGGCGCCAGTTCATGCTCCTGCTCCTGTTTTTGGGGGTGGCAGGCGGTGGCGGTGGCAGTGGCAGTGGCTGTTGTGGGGTTGGGTAGCAGCGGCGGTGGCGGTGGCTGTGGCGGGGTTGGTTGTGGCTGTGATGGCGGTTTCTGTATGCTTCTGTTGCTGATCTTTTGCTGACATCACCTCCACATAGATGGGTAGTATGGTAGATGACCGATGACCAACCGACTGTGGCCAGCACCTGCACCGGCGCCATGCGCACCTTCGAGGCACATGTTAGAATCGAGGCACAGGTTATAGCAAAGCTGTTGGGCGGTTTATTCATTGAGACAGGGAGAGGGAGATGGGGAGAGGGCGAAATAGGGAGAGGGAAAGAGGGAGAGAGGGCTGCGCGCGCATGCGTGCATGAGTACCTGGTAGCAGGCGTGCAGGCGTGTAGGCGCGCACGCATGTTTCAAGCGCGTGTTTGCTCGTGTGCGTGCGTGCGTGTGTCTGGGGTGTGGGGTGTGGGGTGTGGGGTGGTGTGGGGTGCGGGGTGAAACACTAAGTGTTACACATCAGGTGCCTGTCTGTTTCACGTATCATTTGCATGTATCCATGCCTGTTGCTCAAGGTTCTAACAGAGTGCGGTCTACAGCTGTGCGCCCGTAGTAAAAAAAGACTCCTGCGAGCCTGTGTTCCTGTACGCATAGCGAGGGTGGTAGCGGAGTTTTCGGGAAACGGGAAGCATCACACCTGTGGAGGTACCCGTTGGTACAATCCGCACAGGTGCAGGCAACCGGATCCCCGGTGTGCTTCACACAGGTGAAGGTGACCGGAGTCTCTCCGGCACACTTCGCTCAGGTGATGATAACCGGAAGACTATTCTCCCGCGCAAAGGCTAGCCACTCTGTCTGAGCATGGCGAAGGACATGATGACTACCTCCTTCATGGAAGTGAATCTTATGCGACGAATCATCGTCATCGCAATGAGCCACACCGTCTCTAAGCTTTCCAGCAGGTGACGCCATTCGATGATGGACGAAGTAGTCGGTTCGCCTACGAGGATGTGATCGATGACTGGTGTGACATCACTGAGCGAAGTCGTCTGGGAGGTGAAGCAGCAATCCACAAAAGGCTTTTGGACAGGGATCGCGTGAAGGACCCAAACAACGGAGTGAAACACTTCAAGAGCTTCCTGCGGCCGCTCTTCGTGAAGGGAGCCGCCAACGTTTTGCTCTACCGCTTCCAGCAGTTCATGAACTTGCACCGCGGGAATGGTGCCATGCTTCGTTGGATTACCTGGTTTCAACTCTGTGTCCAGAGAATGCAAGAAGCGTGCTACGCATATGATGAAGGAAACCGTGTTTCCTCCAAAAGTGTGGAGGAGAGATCCTATTTTTCATTTCCAGACATTGCTCAGTGCTTCAACACCGAAATCAAGAAGATGGTTGACTATGCCTGGAGGCCTGTCACTGATGATATGCTTCTCGGGCTCTTAGGCCGTATCGCGTGTAAGAAGAGAGGCTGGTTCCCTTACTGCTCTCGTTTCTCACAGGGCCAAAGCTCTCCGTACTCCTGCGCCTGTCTATCAGGTAAAGGACTACCCTGACCGCGTCTCGATGATCCTTAGGAAAGGAACATGGTGGATCGTCGAAAGAGCCGGCTGGATAATGCCAGCAAGACACCTGTTTCCTGGAGGACGAAGCCGTGGTTCTTGTTTCCCCGTTCCTGCCCGAGAAGGTTTCCTATAAGGTTGAGAGTCTTTCTGAGCTCTCGCATGACTCGGTTGACCAGCTTCTTGAGCACTTCGTGGATCCTGTGCATGGCAGCCCGAGCAGAGGCCGGAAGACAGTGGGAGTGATGAGTCTTCACGTTGATGATCTCATCATAAGTGGAACTCCTGACTTCCTCACTTGGTTCCTTACAAAGGAACACTTCACTGTCGGCCACGAGGACAAGAACGACCTGACGTTTACGGGACAGCGTGTTCGATGGGTCCCTGATGCAGAGGGTAAGAAGAAGTATATCTCGATCGATCAAAAGCTGTGTGTTTCCGTGTTGGAAGAGATTGTCATTCCGAAGCATCTTAAGGATACTGACGCGTGTGAGTGGTAAGGCTCTCCATACTTCGTACCGATCATTGCTTGGTAACATCAACTGGCTTCAGTTGAGGACGCAATTTCAGGCATGCTATCAGTTTTCTCGCTTGGCCTCAGCGTCTGCTGCACCAACCGTCGGTCACTGTAAGGAGTTGAACAAGTTGTGTCGACAGGCTCGCAGTGAAGAGGTTGAGTTGCGCACTTGGCCAGTGAAGGGATCTCCCAGGATTCTTGTAGAAACTGCGACAAGTCATCGCAGAGATCTTCATTGCAGATGAGAGGTCAAGAATCGAAGAGACGCCCGAGGCTCCTCAGTCTTCTTCGAATCTACTAAAATCAAAAGAACGACCCTCAGCACCACAGTCGCTGAGCTTTACGCTTTGATGGAATGCTTTGGTACCTGCCAAATGCTTCGTGGTTTGTGGAAGGACATTAGCGGTCTTGATGCCGAGATTCATATGCGAACTGACGCTAACAATCTCGTTTCTACTGCTTCTACTACTCACTCACCCGAACAGCAGGAAACCGTTCACATCATACAAACTAATTAAGATTGAGGAAGGAAGTTCGGTCACGGGCTATTCCTAATCTTTCTCACGTTCGAACCGAACATTGTTTGTCTGACTGTCTCATGAAATTGGAGCGTTTGTGAGTCATGTGCTGCTTCACGTGTGGGCTGTCAGTCCAATCTACTTCGTGTTTGCGCGTGGAGAGGTCTCTTCGGGGCCTGGGACGGTCATCAAGTATGGCAATTCCAAGTTGGACCACGGGTCCTTCTTGGCCGTGGTGTTGTGCTCGCTGCGCCACGAGAAGGCTGCGGGGGTCGGCTCTTCTCAAGACGAGGAAACCTCTGCATCTGCTTTTGCATCCGTGCATTCGGAGGCTCTCCACATGAAGAGGTACCGGGAAGCAGCTCCGACCCAGGTGCAGGTCGCCCTACAGAAGCCCATGTCAGCGGCGTTGTCGCTCGCCGCGACCTGCTCAAGGTCCCGGCCGGGCAGCTGAGCCTGAGCTGGCGACGCCAGGCACGTCCGCCTGATCAGGGAGGCTCTCCACAGGGCTTCGAAAACTCATCCGAGAGAATGAGCTCAGGGAGGAGAAGGAGCGCCAGGCCAAGCCGTCTGAGGGGTCTACCAAGTACGCGACACGGTCCACGGCCGAGCACACAAGGCCCAGCAGCAGGAGGAGCTCAATGCACCGCACCGACGGTTTTCCATCTGGAAAGGGAACTGCACATGTGGGCATCTTTCGAACAAGAGTTATCACCAAAGATCCAATAACGTTTCGTGTGTGTGTTCTGCTTTTTCATATACGGTGTCTCCAGGGTGAGATGTATAGATTCTCGCAAGTACAATTGTAGCCCAATCAGTCCGGGGCAAAAACAGGAAAGTTGAATGCCGACTTCGACCATGCAATCCTACGTGGTTTTAAATTTGTGCCTGGTTGAAACACTGAATGTTACACATCCAGGTGCCTGTCTGTTTCACATATCAGTTACATGTATCCATCCCTGTTGCTCAAGGTTCTAGCTGAGTACGATCTACGGGTGGGTGGTGGGTGGTAGGTAGTGGGTGGTGGGTGGCAGAAAAACTGTACAAAAGGCAAGACAAGTTACATCCAATTTCGGTTTGGCGTTCAGAGTGGGGCTTCGTGCATCTCTAAACTAAACCGGAAGTTTCAGTGACAACCGCACTTGAAGTACATTGGTGAAGAGCTTTCCCAGCTGAATGGTCAAGGTGCACACGCACACACAAGAAGAAAGCAAAAGCCTGGGAACCCAGCTCGGGTCGCTGCACCCAGTCCGGTCGCGATCCGCTGCTTGGACGGTTCCGTTCCAGCTCTTCGAATGCTTGGCTGGGTGGGCTTGATAACTCGGAGAGCTAGGCTTGTGATGTCCTTCCGGGGTCTTGCGGGTCCCTAAACCCTTCGGCTCAGGGGTCTTGGCTTGCTTCCCCCTTCATTGAGTAGCTTAACTCGCTATCCACAGACCCAAGTCCCAAACCGTCCGAGCGCTTTGGCAAGACAACCCCTCTGCCCCTACGCCCCCTGGGGCCCAGAGGGGGGCCTTGAGCAACCCGGCGGCAAGCGTGCTTCATGGAGAGTCACCGGATCCCCCTTCGGGTGTTGGGTTTAAGCTCTTGTTCTGCGAAACCTTGGATCCGTTAGGCCGATCTCCTACACACTCCAATGCTCCACTGATTCCGAGTTTGCAACAGAAAACCCTCAAACCTGGCACCCTCCACCCAACCAAACGCTAGAACCTCAAGTCCGGAAGTCTCAAACCCTACGCTCCAAGCATCATCACATCGAGACATACGTTACCTTCGATCCTGAATCACTGAATATCAGATCCTAAGCCCGAAGCCTTGAACCTTGAATGCACACGCCAACTCCGAATCCCCAGACCAAGCCCGTCCTCCAAGCTCTAAACCCCCATGACTCAACCCCGCTTCCGAAGCCCTAACATGCCCTAACCCTGTTCCGCACTTTTCAGAGCTTCCACTGTCCGAGCGGGCTTGTGAAAGGCGTCTGAGCTTGGGAGCTGCAGGGTATCAGCTTTCGTGTGCGCGTGGAGGTTCGTCACGGTGCTTTTTGTGGGTATGTTGGATCCAGCAAGCAGCCTTCTGGGAAGCCAGCAGATAAAATGAAACATGTGCCATGCCTCGAGCATGCAAAGAGAAGCACGCCGTTCATTCAATAACGAGTTGTAGACTTGGGCTTGCTGAGACTCGCCTCGAGCCACCTGCATAAGAGCGTCAATGAACGGCAGCCCGGAAAATCGTGAGGAACAAAGCGCCGAATTCAGCATGCCTCCGCGGGATGCAGAGTTCCGACTCAGCTCGCTTCTAGAATCGGGGACCAAAACCTGCAGCCTCGGAATGCGACATCCCTATCCCTGAAGCTGCATAGCATCTCTATACCTCGAAGCTCCAACCCCGAGACCTCAAAAAGGATCATGAGCAAAGCATCGTATAGACACCCTTTGTATCAAGGGGCCCACCCCCACCTTGAAGGCCTAGGGCCTAACAGTTGGAGAACTAAACGGTAGACGCCCCAACCGAAGCCCGACAGCAGAGCGAGTCAAGAGATTGAGAGGGCACAGCGCGGTCATTGCCACGTCCGGCGTCGAGCCTGCCGCAGCTGGGAAGGGCTTATGCTCAGGGAGCTTCTGAAGACTATGAACACTACACTTAGCGGCTATTGATCATGGTACAGCATGATGATGGAATGATGGTGGTGATGATGGTGGTGACGGTGATGGCGGTGGTGATGGTGATGGTGATGGTGATGGTGATGGTGATGGTGATGGTGATGGTGATGGTGACGTTGATGACGATGGTGATGGTGATGGTGACGTTGACGGCGATGGCGATGCCGAGGGAACATACACAGTTACAAAAGATGATGTAGTGCACTCGCTGTGCAATCGCCTGCTCCTCCCGAAGTCCTGGTCGTCTCGTTAACTCATCCCAATAGCCTGGACTGCTGGCTTGAGTTTAATAGGGATGCCGGGTTCAAGCGTTTGGGGTTTAGCAGTCTTTTAACTCATTGCCGAAAGCACAATGATAAAAAAAACAGGCTTCAAACATGGATCGCTGTAGGGTCTTGGGTCCTGAAACCGTATGCCACATGCCTGCAACCTGGATGGGCCCAGAAAAAAAGCACAGCGTGTAGAGATGCAGCAAACTCCAAAAGCTGAAGCCGTCCAAAACATGAAACCCAACGACCCATCTGCGAGCGATGCTCAGGTGCGAAAGACAACCCAAACCAGAATGATGCTGGTCACGAAGACATTCACAACGACAACTCAGCAATCAGGAAACATGCCGACAACGGCAATAGCAGTAGCAGAAACTCTGCTGGTGACCTCGAGAAGGTCATAAGCGGGGCGCAATGATGCAAAGAGCTGTATGGAGTTCATGGCTGGTCCAGATGTTCATCAGAACGGCCAGCGCAGCAATGTTGCGACCACGAGAACTACTGCACACATAACCCCTGCAGATTCCATTAGCAGACCATACAAAACCAGTAGCGAGCCCCACATACCGACCAAGGAGAACAGGAGGTTCACAATACCAACCACTTGGGGCCAGCCTGATAACAGTGACAGTGTCAATACATGGCTTTCGGAAAATGACTTGAGTAGTGAAATGATGTGACATGTTCTGACAACATGGGACCGCTGGAAATGACGCTGACATGTCAGTACTGCAGGACTAGATGGCTCAAGGGTTCGAACGCCTGCCGGTTGGAGCTCGGTGTTTGGGATTGGGGTTTTGAATCTGCAGAAAGCTTCTTGTCAATGGCTGGATCTACAACTCAGTCCAAAGAGCTAAAGCGAGTCCTCAGCTCTCGGGAGTGTAGAGCAAGTTCGGAGCAGAGTTTCCACTTAAAGGTTGGTGCGTACGACTAAGACATACTAAGACTGTACTCAGCTAAACCGGTGTTCAGAATCGAACTCCAAGGCCTACATACTACGGCTTTTACAGCAAGACTTGGGGGATCCTGCAGCACACGCCCATGTGCACTTCACAGTGGTCACCCTCAAGGATGGATCATGGAAGCAGAGGATCTGTAAAGCGATTTGCTGAGCCGCGATAGCATAAGAAACTGTAGTCGCGTGGCTCAAGGGCAATGCTCAAAACGCGTGAGACCTAACTTGACAGCAAAGACAGCCCTGAAGTATCGTCCCAGCTGCCTGCAGCATCCAAGTCTTTTGCATGACTGTAGCCTGGCGAAAGCAGAAGCAGGGCTGCCAGACGTGGAAACAATGCGCTATGCCGTATATACCCTGCGCAGACCTGCTGGTAATGAGAAACGGACCCGCGGGAACTCTGCCAGGCGGGGTGGGCTTGGCCGCCTTGCCACGAATCCCAAAAACGCACAGAAAACTGAGATGTTTCCTGGAGCTAGCATTTGGACTCGGAGCGGGTCTCTGTGTTTCACGCACCTTTCTCTTCCTGATGGCAGCTGGTGTCAAGATGCTTAACGCAGGTGTGCCAAAGTTATTGACTGTTTGCAAGCTTCTGTTCGCGCAGCCGCATATTTCGAAAGCCATGCGCCACTGATCATATATCGAAGACCACACATGCCTCTGAAACCAATTCCCAAACCCGTGCACATCCTTCGCAAAGCCTGCGAAGGGAATGGACGCTTTAACGCTTGAGGCCTGCTGTATCTTAAAGTAAAAGTTTGATCGTGCGAAGGCGTATTTTAAGGCTTGGATGCAGCGGCATGTAGCCCCACGAAAGTCTGCAGAAGCACTCAGCATTCATGTCGCGCTGGGCCTTCCTGCCACTGGTGGCCAATGAACCAGTTCGAAAACCTGGCTAGGGCTGAGGCCGGGCTTGAGGGCTTCTGCCTTCCTCTCCCTTTTTCCCTTCCCGGCGTTGGACCTCAAGAGGTTCTTGACGTCCAGCCGGCCACCGACAGTTGGGCTTACCCAGATGTGGCGATCTTTCGGGCAGAGCAATGCCTGGCCCAGGAGTAGCTCTCGACAGTCTTACGGAAAGTGTCTTCATGAGTTCCAAGTGATTGAACACCTTTAAGGTGCAGGGTTCTTTAAGATTCGAATCCTCTTGGCTCTGGGCTAAGCCCGGCAGGTTGCGAGTTCTAGCTGCCTTGAGGGGGCTTCAGGCCAAATGCTCCTACTTCTGCTGCACGACGGCGGCTACTGAGACTGCTGATGCTACTGCTCCTGCTTCTGCTACTGTTACTGCCTCTGCTGTGGCTACTGCCTATGCTACGGCTACTGGCTACTGCCTACTGCTACAGCAACTACGAATATAACTGCTACTTTTACTCCTGGGTCCTCCTGCTCACTGTCCTGCACCTCCTCCTCGTTCTCCTCCTCATCCTACTACTACTACTACTACTGCTACTACTACTACTACCACTACTACTACTACTACTACTACTACTACTACTACTACTACTACTACTACTACTACTACTACTAAAACTACTACTACGACTACTACTACTACTACTACTACTACTACTACTACTACTACTACTACTACTACTACTACTACTACTCCTGCTATTCCTACTGCTACTGCTACTGCTACTGCTACTACAACGACCAGGCTAGCAAGCCCTGCGGCGGCTGGGCGCTTAACCCCCACCTAGAGGGTCAGCGCAATTTTGCAAAACACGAAAAGAGCAGGAATTCCGGCAACTACTCGCGGGGCTTAAACTTGTGGTTTCATGGTTCATTCTTGGCATCTTAGTATGTAGTGGTGGTGTTTGGTCTGTTGATAATCGGACCACGACTGTAAAGCCCATGAAAAACCACTGCTACTACTACTGCTGCTACTACTACTACTGCTGCTACTACTGCTACTACTACTACTACTACTACGACGCCAACAAGGCACTGCTACACCTCACCACTACTGAAACTGCAATTGGTTGCATGTGATCTCAGTTGAAACTGGGCCGGCTGCACCTTCATCACCTGAGAGGCGTTTACTGCGTTGGGGCTCTCAAACATTGCACTGATGTTGCGCAATGTTGCACATGGGGAATCTAATTTCACTGTGCTCCTTCAACGATGTTGTGAGGTTTCTTGAGCCTTCGAAAAGTTTGCAGCGTTACTGCGGGGTTTGGGGAGGATTTGAGGGGGCTCTCAGGATCCGGTGGTCTTCGAGAGAAGAAACCAATACTCGGTTTCAGCTCTCACGGATCATCAGATAGCTGCAGCTGCGGTGGATCCTCGTCTCAACATCTCCGAGTCTCTGAAATGTTTTAAGACTTGCTTCGGACCTTCGGAGTGTTGGGTTTTGCGGCCACAGGGGGCGCTGGTGCTTGGATTGGGGCTTTGTCACCAGGCCTATCCGACCGCTTGCGATGGGAGCTTGCGACAACTCCTAAAGGACCTACTACCGAGGACCTTGGCCATTCTAAAGCTTAGGCTGTTACCACCAAAATTCTCCAGGCACATGCCATATGCCTTGCGGACCCTATGCCTTCAACTGAACAAGCCGGAACCGAAGAGACAAACCCTGCACATGAAGACCATCAGGATCCCGGATCTAGAACCTGAAGCTAGGTGGCGAAAATCTCGAAACAAGGGCTTGCGAGACACTCCGAAGTCTGAACCCTGCACAAGAAAGGGCATGTGCAGGGTCCCGCGTGTGGGTTCCATTCAGGTACCCCAGGAGACTCTGCTTTCGGCAAGGTTGCCGTGCAGTTCCAGATCGGATAGATGCGGTCCAGGATCCCGCCGTGCCTTGAGGAAGCCGCTTAACATTGGGCTGCGGCAACACTACCTGAGGACCTAGGAACCTCTTTTGAAGCCCGGATCCCCACTCCAGCACAGGACTGCAAGTCCCTTCTCCTCCCTACGCGGGCCCGAAGTACTAAGCACCTTCAGCAAAACGACCTGAAGCCCAAAACTCCCACAACGTCCTGTTTAGCGTTCCCTTTCGGGTGTTGATCTGTCTATGCCCATGGTGCATGTGGCTCGGAGCCGTCGTCTGGCAGTCCCTGCTCCACAGCTGGCGCCTCGGAACCCCAGCTGCCCCAGGGCGACGGTTTGGAGCACCAGAATTGAGGATTCGGCAATAAAGGGTCTGACGTTTATAAGGCTTAACTTCTATGCCACAAAGACGAAAGCGGGGGTTAAGAGTCAGGGATTCGGGCTTACGGCTGCGGGCTACAGGTTGCAGACTGCGTTTGTAGGGCTCTGGCGCATAGTCGTAGAAGCAGAAGAGCGAAAAAGGGTTCACCTCGAGTGATGTCAACTGCAGTGAAGGCTTATGTATGCATGGGCGGTCATACCTTCTTGAAGTTGCTTCCCGAGTGGACCTACGAACAGCATGCTGACCAGGTTATCAGTCCAGCACTCTATCAAGCCGACTAAACCTCAAAAAATCCAAACCTCTGAATATGTCAACCCTTAACCGTTCTTCTGATCCCGAAGGCGGAAGTTTGAATCCAGTCACCCCATCGCTGCAGAGCGCTCCCGTACCCGTCAGCCAGCGCCAGGGAAGGAAGCTCACGACCAGCCACACCTGGGAGTCACGGGTTCAAGAGACTGGGTGGCAAAGGGTTTGGAGATTCGGTGGGTTTGGGGAATTTCAAGCTTCCAGGGTTCAGGCTCTGCGGTGCGATTTTGAGCCTTCAACCCAAGCCCAAACAAGCATCGAAAGACAAGCAATGACAGAACTCGTGGTGGCAACAATAGGACATGTTACTCAGGAGCAAGTATAGTAGCAAGCTTGCCAACAACAACATAGAACGCTTCTCATGACAGTCGAACCCTGAACCATAAAGCCTAAACTCCTAAGCCCGGAACCATAGCTGCTAAGCTAAGAGAGCCCGAAATCTGAAACTCAGCCAGAGTGCATTCGAGGAGGCCAGCACGGCCTCCTGCAGCTCCTCCCGGCCTGGGAAGCTGCTGATGACGTCCGGGACCATGGCCGGCAGCATGCCTTGGCACGAGAAGGCAATTCCAAGCTAGTAGGAGGGTTCAGTTCGCAGGGATTTCATGGTCAGCGCTCGAAGAGGAGCAGTTTGTGGTTACAGCAGCATGGAAAAGCTGAACTGTGGCCATGTAGCTGCATGCTTACCTACGAACATACGGACTAAGGCTTCGGTACGACCATTTGTATTGTTGATCAACCGTAAGATTGTGCCAACATCATCCCAAGTGCAGCGTCGCGTTTAGTTGAAGATCAGGAGACTTCGACATCGGCCTGAAGCGCTCGAAGCAGACAGGCGCCGTTTCGGGCTTGGCGTTCATCACCTAAATCCCGGAACCCTCACCCCGAGACCGCTTGCTGCGAGCGGCCCAGCGCGAGTCTTCGGACCCCGATTTTCAAGCGTGAGCTCGCTGTCTCGACGCCTGGCACCGCTGTTGTAGTGCCCTGTGGTTCCAATGCTCTTGGGCTGTGGGTGGCAGGCTTCCGCAGTCATTGTGGCCTAAAGACAATTATACGGTTTATAGTTTATAGGGTGTAGGCTGTACAGAGAGACCAGAAAGTTGCAACTCAAAAGTGGGAGACAGGCTCCCCGTTCACTTGCTCCATGCTTTGGGGTTAGCAGGTGCGAACATTCCAAACTTTGTGTCTTTTCCCATCAAGAGTGTGCATCGGCACATAGATCTCAAACCGGGACTTCTGTATTTGGGACCCTGGGGCACACTGAACCTCTGCACCCTCGGCCACGAAACACAACCCAACCGAAATCCTTCAACCTCAAACTAAGAGGCAAAAAGCAGGATCCGACCATTCAGCCGACCAAGCCTACCCCTACAGCCCCTACATCGTCAAACGAGCCAGATACTTGCAGCCCGATCTGAAGGATCCTGGGTCCCTTCTTCTTTCTTGCCTTGCATGCTTTGAGGCTTAGATCTGACTACGACTTTAATGCTGATGCCCCAAACATCCAAACCCTCGAACCCCTGAACCGCACGGAATTTCTTCTGCATGACCGTACATCCTATGGATTGAGCAGTCCACCTGACACATCTCAAAGACAATCCAGAATGGCAAGAAGAGCAGCAAGGGCACGCTGATACCATTTGAAGCTCAACATGCAACTTGATCCTTGTGGCAGCACGCGGCTAGTTGCAGCTTCCAGAAGCTTCCGCAAGCCTCGCAGAAGGCTGTTGCAAAATGTGATAAGGAGTGAAGCAATCTTGTTAAGTGGTAGGAAGTCTCAGCAGTGTTTAAGCCTCCAAGCCCACCTCCAGACAACCCAAGATCATCGAACTTCCATGCTCGAGGTCACAAGGCTTTACAACCATTGTTGCAGCGATGCACAAACCCACCAACTTGCGCTACTTAATCCTCATTGAATCCAAGAGGCGCCCTACGAAAGACAGCGGCCACCTGCAATGGAGTCTTCCGTTCTTGCAGTGTCTCAGCTCCACCCCAACACCCAAGCTGCAGCCAATCACCGACTCAAAGCTTGAATGCACAGGGCTTACAGCTGTCCAACGAGTTGGGGAGTTTCCATTCTGTTGGACGGGAATAGGGCTCGAGGTCGGTTGATCAAAAACTGTGAGGCAAGAAGCAAAGAAGGGAACCCGCACTCCTATGCCGTGCCCTGAATCTGTAAGGTTGGGGTCTGACGGTCTGACGACTGAGGCCACATCGTTCCGATGAAAATGCAGCTCAATAGCGTGAGATCTGTGGAGCTCTCCACAAACTCAAACAACTCCTTCGGGGACCAAACACAGAACGGCGCACACTCAATTTCCTGGTAACCCGAAGCATCTACCTCCTGAACCTGGCTTGTCTGATTCCTGCACACAACAACGTCTGTTTCAGGAGAAACATGCTGATCCTCAGTTGGGGTCTCAGGCTACTGCTACTGCTGCTGCTACTCCTACGCCCTACTACTCTAGTACTCCTACTACTCCTACTGCCCCTACTACTCCTACTACTCCTACTACTCTGAGTTTTCCTACTACTCAACACTACTCTACTCCTACTACTCCTACTACACTACCACCACCACTGCCACACCACCACCACCAACACCAGCACCAGCACCAGCACCAGCACCACCACCACCGCCACGACTACTACTACTACTACTACTACTACTACTACTACTACTACTACTACTACTACTACACTACTACTACTACTACTGCTGCTGCTGCTGCTGCTGCTATTACTACTACTACTACTACTACTGCCACTACAGCCACCACGACCAATACCACTGTCATTACCGCAACTACTCTTGTATGAATCACCACCACCACCACAACGACCACGATTAGCCCTTCACCTCCTCCTGTTGCTGCTGCCATTGCTGCAGCTGCCATTGTTGTTCTCATTACTCTGAGGTTGATTTGCGCTTGTCATTGCTACTAGCTGCTAACTTTAACACTGTTCCCATTTGTGCCAGCATGCCTGCTTCTACGCTGATGAATACCAGGACCACCGTGATTGCGCGAGGCATTACTGCTGCAACTGCTGCGCTTCTTAACATGTCAGGGAGCATTAAGACTTGCATCATGACCAACAGCAGCACCTACTACTGTTGCCCTACGAAGGCTTTCTTTCCATCACGAGATTACTGATTGTGGCTGTAGTTACTTCTTTGATTGATCATTGCTCTGGAGATTACTACGATTACTGCTCTTGTCGTTATCAGCTCTCAAGAATCTACCTCCTCTCGTTCAGTGTTCTTTCAACATACTCTGTGCAGCATCTGTCCTGGGCACGTCGTCGAACGGCTGCAGACGAAGCTCTGCCTGGCACGGGCTCAGGGTTGTCGGTTTGCCTTGAGGCGAATTTGTTTTGGAGCTTAGGGTGTTAAGGGAAGACAACCAAACCTGAAACTTGACTCCAAACATAGCTCCTTCTAGAATCCTGCACATGTCTGAACTTGAGTTTTCTTGACCCTTAAATCCCTGCTCCGGAATCCCAGCCTGACTCGCCCGGCTCCACAGCAGAGGCCGCTTCTGCAGCGAGCCTTGATAAGGCAAAGCACGGAGTGGCTTTGGAGTTGAACCGCACGGTTCCTGGCCTGGGAGGTACAGCTGTTTGGGCCTAGTCGTTCGTGCGTCAGGCACTGTGGAGCCGTATCCTCAAGTCTTGCCGGATGAGAGCGGGTGCCCAACCCTGTTTCTACGAACTACCCTTGTCGTTGGAATTCCGTGGATTGCCCATGCTCCCATTATTCTCCTGCTGGATCTGTTTCGTATTTTGCGAGACACACGCGCCATTCGGCACTACCCTATGACTTTGGCACAATAGTAAGTTTTTTGCAACGTATGATAAAAAACAATTAAAGCTCGCAGAAGCAGCCTTTTGGACCTCGGCAAAACTAAACAAAAAGAGCAGGTTCAGCCTACAATTCCGTCATGGTCATATCATATGACACGACCCCATCTAGTAGCAGCAGCAGAGGCAGACATGATATGTAGCTATGCTTCTCGTCATGGCCAACATTCCTGGGGAAAGCCAAGCAGAACATCATTCCAATCAACAACGAGCCAGAGGAAAACAAGACTGGGCACAACACTAGCCGCTTGTCCGTACGATCAGACCTCTCGGGAAGCCACTCTTCGAAGTGTAGCAGCACCACCGCAGCAATGGCGCCACTGCTAACGCCGGCCTCGACTCAGCCCTCCCCGAAAGGCTTGGGGTTTGAGGTGTCGTAGAAAGGATGTCTCAAGACTTTTCAGCTGCCGGTTCTTCGTTCGAGCAGGTACTACGTAATTCAAACACACAGCTGGGCAGGTACCACACGTTACTGTTAAAGTTTAAATTTGAACAAAGCTGTTAGCAACAACCTCTAACCCTGCAAACCCCAATCCTGCATGAGTGATCGTAAAGCATGACGAACAACCGAGCAACATCTGCAGTAACATCATCAGCATCACTGCAGCATCACCATAAACCGTTGATGTCGTCATGTTAGGGAACACGAATATCTCTTCGGCTGCAGACATCATCTCAAGTGTCTGTGGTTGCAAGAGCATACAAACTGATGATGATGATGATGATGACGATGATGCGCTGGCAGCAGTGATGTTCTAAGCTAGCCTGGTGACATGATTGTCCTTGCCACTGCCAATGACGATCCGGGATACTACCGACAACGAGAACGCACGAAATGCAGATAATGCGAACAGTGATGCGGATGAGCTCTGGCGCGAACTTCGGTAGTCACACGAGCTACTACTAAAGACCTACTCGGTACTAGTGGCATCAAAAATACTGTTGGGAATACCCTAGGCCACTCTTTCTCACACACACACAACATCACACCATCGCAGCATCACTCGGTGATGTCCAGCAGCAGCAGCGGCAAGAAGTTGCATGCAGTACGTCCGTAGCATGTGGACATGCTGCAGTAGGTAGTAGGCGCATATGAAGAATGCTACTAGCAACGAGGGCAGAGTGGCAGTAGTAGCGGTAGCAGTGTCGACAGCAGTCGCGGCAGCAGCAGCCGTAGCACTAAAACCAGGCCCAGCGCTAGCGGTAGTACTAGCAGTGATATCAGTAGTAGTTGTAGTAGTAGTAGTAGTAGTAGTAGTAGTAGTAGTAGTAGTTGCAGTATCAGCTATAGTCGCTCTCGTCGTCGTCGTGGTTCAAGCAAGCAGCTGAAGCGAGCAGTAGCAGTAGCAGTAGCCAGTAGCCAGTAGCCAGTAGCCGTAGCAGTAGCGGTAACAGAAGTAGAAGCAGGTGGCAGTGGCAGTGGCAGTGGCAGTGGCAGGGGCAGGGCCAGCGGCAGCGGCAGCGCCAGCGGCAGCGGCAGTGGCAGTGGTACGTAAGTAGTAGTAAGTAGTAGTAAGTAGTAGTAGGTAGTTGTACAGAGCAGTAAGTAGCAGTACGTAGCAGTAAGTGAAAATAAGTAGTAGTAAGTAGTAGCCAGGGTAGGAAGTAGGAGGAAGTAGCAGGAAGTAGTAGGAAGTAGTAGGAAAAAGCAAGACGTAGTAGGAAGTAGCAGCTAGCAAGTAGCAACTAGCAAGCAGCAAGTAGTAAGCAGCAAGTAGAAAGTAGTAAGGAATAAGGAGTAAGTAGTAGTAGTAGTAGTAGTAGTAGTAGTAGTAGTAGTAGTAGTAGTAGTAGTAGTAGTAGTAGTAGTAGTAGTAGTAGTGGTAGTGGTAGTGGTAGTAGTAGTAGTAGTAGTAGTAGTAGTAGTACTACTACTACTACTAGTACTAGTAGTAGTAGTAGTAGTAGTAGTAGTAGTAGTAGTGGTAGTGGTAGTGGTAGTGGTAGTGGTAGTGGTAGTGGTAGTGGTAGTGGCAGCCGTAGCAGTAGCAGCAGTACAGCAGCAGTAGAAGTAGCAGCAGCAAACGCAGGAGGATAGTTGTGGTATAGCGGTAGTGGTAGCGGCAGCAGCACTGACAGTGGCACTGGCAGCGGCAGTGGTAGTGGCAGGGTTAGTAGTAGTGAAAGGGGTAGTGGCAGCGGTAAGGGCAGGGGTTGGGTTGGGTGTAGGGAAGAGGTAGTGGTACAATTTCATTAGTTGTCGTAACAGTAGCAGCATTAACAGCAATGGGGTAGCAGAGGTAGTGGAGTGACAGCAGTAGTTGGAGCAGTCGCACGACGATGATCGATGATAACAGGCTGATGAGGTAGATGCAGTTAACTAGATCTGACCGCCGAACCACACTCATCATACAGGGAAACGGCATAAGGAGCCCATTGCGAAGGCGAGCAGCCAGTTTGATGTTGGACGTATCGAAGTGCTCGCACAGGTATTGGATCATTCCTGCCCGAATCCGTAGGTTTCTCAAAATTGCAGGTCCATTTTCCCCCCCCTACTCAGGTGCCCAGATCTAGGTCACGAACACAACACAACACGTGAATATTGAACTCAGACCTGGAGCAAGTACGGCATAGATAGGAGCTGAAGCACTCGAGAACATAGCGAACCTACAAGGCTAGAAACGATGAACGAACGTACAGATCTTCCCAACATGCAAAACAAGAACAAGTGTGTTTAATATCATCAAATACTGTACCTCAACCCAGAGATGCACCTGATCCTGGGATTTCAACGGTGCACCAGCAAAACTAGGGCTGTGGTGGTTCTGAAGTTGGGGTTTCAGAGCTCAGCCGTAAGCTTCAGCAGTCTGGGCCTTTGGGTTTCTGGTTTCAGTTCAATAGGGCGCTCTGAACTGACGATCTCTGGCCTCAGCATGTTCCAGCGAAGCCTGACCATAGACGGCAAATCCGCGAGCCCCTCAAGCCCCAAGTTCCAAGGCCAAGGTTCAAGCACGTTCTAGCGCTTAAGGGTCTAAGCCAAGCGAGGTTACCTGGCTTCAGGCCAACTTCAGGCTTAACCATCACGAGCTGACGGAAGCTGCCCTAAACCCAACCAGAGCCAGAGCGGTCCGATCTGCCAGAAAGCGTAGGAGCACGTCCCGGGCAAAACCAGGGTAAGCTGCTCGCCCTGCGACTGGGATTGTTGCTTTAGGGAACCCAGCCCAAGCCAACAGGATGCTGTCAATGGAGGTAACAACGCCTTGACTCAGGTCTCACGCATTTAGGCTCACAGCATACTAAGACACCTTGAAAAGGAATCGAGAGCAGTTGATGGCCTGTGAGTCGACTTAAATGGCCTGGTAAGTCGGGGAAAGACAGCAACACCAAGCGCAGGGGAGCGGAAAAAGGCAACATAGAGCAAGAGAGTTAAGAGAAGTGAACCCTATAGAGACATCGAAAGGATGGCAAAGCCAGTCTGATGCCATTGAAAGCCAAAATCCTTGTTGCAAGACGTTTCGAACAGTATGGCTGCCGTGAAGAAGAAGAAGAAGTCGTATTGGAGCCAAAAGCGAGCATGCCCGTTTGCGGGCTAGGTTTCTCACACCCCCGACAGGCTTCCAGACAGAACCCCTTAAACCCGAGATTTCGGATACCACGGAAACCCTCTTCTGACTCCTCTCCATCCTGGTCTTGTCGCGGCAGCAAGTCCAGCCGCAAAAAATCCTTCCACGTGATTTAACATGAGGTGAAACATCGTTGAAGGTTGGGGGTGGGTTTGGAATGGACCTAGGCCATGATCTGCGCTATGCAGGGTCGTGAAATTACTCCAATATCGTACGACACGTACAGTCATGGCCTCTAAGCTCCGAGAACCTAGGCCTCGAGCTGTATCCATTAGAGCACAGTCAAAAGCAAAACTGGATTCGAGGGCAATCGTTTGAATAGCTTGAACTTTCAGGATTCCTGGTCCCAAGCGTCCAAATCCCTCGGCCATACCTCGAAGAAGAACCAGCTAAAAACCTCACACAATCCAAGACTAGCACGAATCTGGATACCGCCCTTTTCCTGCAGCAGATGCTGCTTCTGCGGCTTCTGCTGCTGCTGACGCAACACTACTACTGCCAGCTGAGCTGCTACTGCTACTGCTACTGCTACTCCTACTCCTACTCCTACTACTACCACTACCACTACGACTACTACTCCTACTACTACTACTACTACTACTACTACTACTACTACTACTACTCCTGCCACTACTACTACTACTACTACTACTACTACTACTACTACTACTACTACTACTACTACTACTACTACTACTACTACTACCGCTGCTACTACTGTCACTGATTCTGTACTTTCACCACTACTAGTCACTGATATAACTCCTACAAGCACTACTTCCCATGCTGTCTGGAATTGGCACTTCTGACCCTCCACGCTACACCCAAACCCTCACGCGCAACCCGTAATCCGCAAAGCAAACCGGGAACCCGGCCCGAAGTGCTTCCAGCAACGTCAGGATCAACGCCAGGGGCAACCTAAGACGACTTGCGGCTTGGGGCGTTTCGGGGTTGTTGATTGTTGATTCGGTCTGTCTGTGTGATTATTGAAAAAAGGCTTTAACAGACCGGATACCGGATTTTCGATGTGCTGCTTTGCAGATGACACGAGGCCTTTACTCTCTAAGCAAAAAGCAAAGATCCAAGGAGCAGAAGATCGAGAACCCTGAACCTAAACCTTTCACACTCAACTGCCCAACCGTGAGCGACAGATGTAGGAGCCGTTCATGGGCATCCGAGTCACACCAATACGATGACGGCTAGGAGAAGACATAGGCCTGGCAAGTGTTTAGGGCGTAGGGTTGCTAGGGTTGTGGTGTCCGATTATGGTTTTGTTTTGTTTGAGCCCCTTTTCACCTTACAAAGAACTCGCCGTTGTGAGAGGGTAAGACTGGAACAAGGTTTAGGGCTGAGCTTAGGGCCTGGAGTCGGCTATGGGGAGGACGGGAGGGCGCCAAGGAGCTAGGGGGCTAGAGATTAGGGGCCTGGTCCGAAACCAGGGATGCAGTTGACTGTTTTTGCAAGACTGATGCAGTCGCCATAGCATAGTCAGCCATCCCAAACCCTGAATGTCACAACTCTACAGCCGTACACCCAAAACCCTCCAATACCCCAGCAGAAATACTACAACCATGAGTCCAAAACCCAAAAGCCAAAAGCAAAAAAAAAAAAGGCAAGTGTCGCAACCCAACATACCAACCCTACACTTCAACATCGGAAATCTCAAAGCCTGAACCCCAAGACCCTAACCCGACCACAGACCCAGCACCTCAAACCTACAAACCTTTTCCAACACACAGAAAGCCTACAACTCTTGCGCCGGAACCCCGAAACGCCATGAAACGCCTCAACGAAAAAAACTGAGGAGGACAAGTCTGTTGAGAGAGTGTCGCTTCGACAGCCCAGAAAAGTCGCGAGAACGACAGGGCAAGTAATTGGCAAGCGCATTCTGCGAGCTCATCGCCAGTCCTTGTCCTTCGCAACGAACGCAACCCGCCGTTTACGGAGGTCCTCCGCCACTACTCGGCTTCGGCCTCGCACCGCCGTCGTGACCGCTGCTCTTCGCGTGCCAGGATGCAGACGATATCTTGCAGGCCATGCCCCGCCTTTTTGGGCTTTGGGCAGGCGCTAGGACGCAAGGAGCTTTTTAGTTCAAGGTTTGTGGTTTGGTGGCTATCATAGCAGTAAGAGCTCGCGCGGCATCTTCTCGTACCTTCACACGTGGAGCCCCAAGGAACCCTTCAAACCCCTGACGAAAAGCTTACAGCTTTAGGACCACGGGGCTGAAGCAAATGGCAAACTGGAGTCAGACTGACAGACTGAACCCTGAGAGCTTTGCACAACAAGGGAAAACAGAGCTAGGTGTCATCCCAAAACACCCTTCCTAAAACCGAAACTGCCAGCGCGAAGCCGGGAGCAGCTGAAAGAAATACTCGGGAGCTCCACCCACGAGAGTGCCGATCACCGTCTCGGCGAGCGACCAGCCCCGCGACTGGCAACAGCTGAGGGTCATGGGTAGTTTTAAGGGTTCCTTTAAGGGTCCCCTATAAGGGTATAGGGCTATCTGTCTTACCAACACGGGGTTGCACAAGGCGCAAGGGCTGCTAACTCTAGCCTGCGAGGTTCTAGACTACTAGACCGTCAACGCCAAGCGTTTGGGACTCTTGAAGAGGAGAGAGACTCTGTAGGATGACCTTCATCAGCTGTTTCTGACTCGGAACCTCCTTCAGCAGAAGTTTCACAGACGATTGCTTTGAGATCAGCCGTAAAGACCGAACACTGAGCAAATCCTACAGATCTTAGTGCCAAGGATCTGCACAGGTTATTCCATGCGTAGTATTTTTTTAGTAACTGTTAGTAAGCATAGAATCAGAAAGGGATCCCGCGATCTTTTCTAAGATCTAACGTGTGACCTTGCATTCGGCTCTTTATGGACTTGCCATAAGGAGGGCACTAGGGCTGGACTTGGTCATTTAGCTCTCCACTTGGGTTTGAAAGCAGCCCCAGTCATCGCCCGAAACAACACCTCGGAGCAACGACCAGAATAACGCTATAACAGATCTACATGTGTGCATATATGTCTATATTTATGTGTATCTATATCTATATATATATATATATATATAGAATGAGAGATAGAAAGAGTGTGTCTGCATACATACATACATACATACATACATACATACATACATACATATGCGTGTATATTTACTGTACGTGTAACAAAATAAACAACACAATCAAACAATACACAAACAAATCAATGATCTGCAATATGCATATGTCTATCTATCTATCTATATATATATATATATATGCACCCCCAGTCTCTAACTGTACACCTCCCAACCCGGACCAGGACCTGCGCCCCGAGTCCTGCTGGCTCTCCCGAAAAAACCCTATGCGATGCACACCAAGAACTGTGAGCTTACAGACTACTGACTATTGCAAACCCTGCGTTTGCTCCCGCCTTTGGGGTGATGCCCGCGCTGAGCGGCGGGGTAAAGAAACGGCTAGCTGGGCCCACGAGGCCCCGGTACTCACCACACCTTGGTCGGTGCTGTAAGGAACTGAAACCTCACGGCACAAGACTCATGTAGCAACCTTTGGACTTAACCTTTAGGCAGGGATAATGGCCGCACTGCGGAAGGGGCTTCGGTTTCCAAGTGAAGCAATGTCGTGCAGAAGCAGGTGAATTGTTTTCCAATCTTGTGCACTTAGGGCTTATGAGCCTGAGGATCGAGGACCTCTCCTCATGATCTGTTTGGCTGCCTCCGGACCGTCCGGAACCCAGAAAGGCAGCAAGGAAGCTAAGACGGTGGCCAATTGTCGTTGCAGGTCCCTTGCATGGCACCGTGGCGGTCCCTACAGAAGCCGGCAGCGGGGTTCCCGGGCTCAGAATTCAGCAATGCTGCTCCTTGAAGCCTTGCATCAAGTTCAATCGCTCGACCACTTTGCAGGTTTGGCTTCAACACGGCAAAGGTTGCAAAAGATTCGAAGGTCATGCGGGGCTGGGGCTTGGTGCATCAGGGTTGTACTGTAGTTCTTAGTCGGCTTTTGGACTTAGGGGGACTAATCACTGCCGAACGTCTGGCCTATGATTGTTACGCGATCTACCGTTCGGTCCTTCGGCGGCGGCCGGCATCCATGCAAAGACTGGATCGTGCAACCCGGGACTGCTACTCACTGGCCGAACCACCTCTAGCTCGCCTCGGGTCATATCCAGTTTGCGCCGGCATGCCCCAGCCCTTGAAGCCCCTCAGTCGGGAAGCAAAATCCCAAAGTTCTTGCCATCAAACCACGCTTAAAGCAGCGCTCGCTGTCGATCCTGAAAGCAAGTCCTGGATTGATGTCCAGCCTCGCTACAAAGGGGCGTGTGGGGCGGACAGCTTGAAAATCTGCTTCTCTAAAGCCGGGTTCCAACCGGGACCACATCGTGCAGTTTCCGTCTCGCTTCTCCCAAAGCAGCTTGCGTCCGCAACGGAATTAGTCCCTCCATGCAACCATGTGTGACCAGGCAAGTAGGATCACCGTTTCAGCAGCATAAAGCACAAGGGCGTCCTCTGATGGAGGGAATTTCACAAGAAAATCCTGCTTTAAGCAAGTTTCCCTGGCATGCACCTCAGGGCGACCTCTGGACAAGAAGCCCTTGACCCCACGACTCTGTACAGCTGCCCTGCACAGCTTGATGTGCACAGGCCAGTTTGACAAAATAACACTCTCTGAACATGAAGCCTTTCGGCCGACTGCGTCTGCTATGCTGCGTCACTCCTTTACCCAGAAACTTCCGTATCAACTAACCCTGAACCCCACACGAGTAACACGAAGGCTTGGCAACAGGCTCCGGCGAGTCAATCAGCCATTCCTCTGTCAGCTACCCACATCTCTTCTGGACATCACCTTGGTTCACGGGCCGATGCCGAGAAGGACTTTACCATGCTTTTCCGAGGCTTCGGCCCCGACACTGCTCGTGCGCGACCGTGCCGGCGCCCGGACCGGTGGCTGAAAGCCGCCCTCCGCCAGGCCCTGCCCCAAAACCTCCGCCACGCCGGTCCCGCGCCCGCGAGGGCCCGGTGCGAAGCGCGGGGCGGGCGTCGAGGCGCGCGGCCGCATAAAAGGGGGTGCCAGAGGCCCCTCCGGCTCCGGCTCGGCCGTGGTGTCAGCCGCAGCCGGTGGCGGCCCCGGCCAGCGCGCCGCACCTCGTCAGCACCAAACATCACCAAACCAAGAACGCTGTTGCACATGCACTCAGTGCACTCTCCTGGCCTGCAGAGACGGCTCGGCTCCTGGCCTGGGCATCAGAGGGTTTTGTCTGGATTTTTAAGGTTTTTGCATTCACGCAAAGAGCAAAAGCAATGTGTGTTCCAACCCATTCGGCCGAGGCCTGAATCTCGCAAGTGTCAACCCGGAACCTGTGCCAACCATCGCCAACCCTGCCCAAAACGCGACAGCCGACAAAGGCGAACAACAAACAAAAAGGCCCGGGCGCGTGAGGCTTGCATGTCTGTGGACCCCCGACCCTTCATTTCCGAGGTTTGCTTGGCCTGGCCTGGAGTGGCCCTTGCGGAGGTCGCGGTCGCTGGGTCTCGATCGTCATGTTTTGCTGCAGGTTCTTGTTGTGACATTACAATTGTACAGGGGCCAGTTTGCCTCAAGCCATGGGGAAACATCAAAACAAATCTAGGCCAAGCTGCCAAACCTGGGAAAGGACGGACCGCCACGGCTAGAAAAACAAAAGCCCCCCCGCACAGCACACAGGAAAAGAGAAAGCAAGTCATAGGATAAGGAGGACAGGGAACCGGAAGACCGCAGGACCATCTCGCCACATCTAGGAGGAGGAAAATCAGCAGCGAAGCAGCGCCAGAATATGAAAAACAAGAGGCTCCGACACTAAGGCTCAGAACCTGCAGTTTGAAACCCAAGGCGTAGCACGGCGAACACGGCAAGCAGAAGTCTAGGGACCTTCCGATTCTGTTTGTGTGTGTGTGTGTGTGTATATGCGTGTAGGCCGGGTGTCTGCGAGGATCAAGTACCACAGAAATCCACAACAAACCTTGAAAGCCAAAACTCCAAACCCCCACTGCGACACCCTCCACAGCTGCCACCAAGCGACCGGGTAAGGAGCAAGGCCCAAGTAGTTGTCGCGCTGCCTTTTCTGAGCTCAGAAGTTTGAGGAGCTTTGCTTCAAACCCCGCAAGCTCCAGCGCGGAGTTTTGGGCCGCTTTGGATTTCTACGTAGCGATCGGTCCTGTGCATGCTTGGAACTCCAGACGCCACCGTCTTTGGAGTAGTAGTGGTAGTAGTCGTCGTCATCGTCGTCGTCCCAGCAGTCGTAGCAGTCGTGGAAGGACTGGTACTGGTGCTGGTGCCGGTGCTGATACTGATACTGGTGCTGGTTCTAGTGGTTGTGGTGGTGGTAGTAGTGGTAGTGGTAGTGGTAGTGGTAGTGTGTAGTAGTAGTAGTAGTAGTAGTAGTAGTAGTAGTAGTAGTAGTAGTAGTGGTAGTGGTAGTGGTAGTAGTGGTAGTGGTAGTGGTAGTGGTAGTGGTAGTGGTAGTGGTAGTGGTAGTGGTAGTGGTAGTGGTAGTGGTAGTGGTAGTGGTAGCAGCAGCAGCAGTAGCAGCAGCAGCAGCAGCGGCAGCAATAGAAGCAGCAGGGGTAGCAGTAGCAGTAGCGGTAGTAGTAGCAGTAGCAAGCAGCAGTGAAAATGATAACTATAATATTGCTTGCGCAGAAATCGGCCTGACGAAATTGCAGTTTCGAAGTGGTTTTTTGGCAGGGGAGTCAGGGCATTGCGTGTAGTGCAAACTTCGAGAGAACACTCCCGAGCCGAGGTTTGGACTTCTGGAGTGTTGGTGAAAATGTCTCACGGAGAGCACGTGTTGTTGTGCTTAATCTTCCAATGTTTTCAGTTTCGGCGTGCAGGGGTGTTAAACCTTCTTAGCAGAACCTCTGTCTGGCACAATAGCTGAAGGGCTTCCGGCTTATCCTTCCACTCTTGCTTCAGCAGCTTCTTCCATTCTGTTTGCTTCGGCCGATCTCCCACAGTGTTGAAGCCTCAGCTTCTGCAATTTCGCCCAACAACAAAAGAAAAACAAATGAATAATCCAGACACCAGGAATGGCGCACCAAATGGAATAAAAAGTGTTCGCCAGCTGCCCACACAGGGGCACAGTTGTGATTGGACAGAGCCCCTGCTCACTGCCTCTGTCATCTGCAGAACAATGAAAATGAAAAGTGAAGTGTGTTGGAGTGACCTCTTCCTTGTATGAACTGCTGTAGGAAGAACCACACAAATACGCACACTCCGATATGGATCATCTATTAAAACTCGACCTACGCTGTGTTACTCTTGGCAAATCGAAGCCTCTGCCCTGCAGAACGAACACTAAAGAAACACATGGGCCCGTGAGCCCGTGAGCCTTTGCACAGCAGGGCGTTCGGGTGCTGCGGAGCGCGGCAGCCCGACCTCTGTTCGGGTTCCGTCGCAGAAGCTACAGGTTTTACCCACTTTCCATTGAGGTAGGCTGTCTTGTGCACAGCTGTCAAGAGTCAATAAGTGGGAACACAAAGATGTTTATGTCGATAGAAGCACGAAGACAGTCGACGAATGTGGTAAGAAGAACTAAGACACCAAGTCATCTGCCGAAGCCAGAACAACCGCAAAATTCAGAAATTCTGTCTCCACCGCCATTTTCCAGGGGGTTCCGGGCCTTGCGAGCCCACAGGGCGTCTTGGCTAACTTAAGACTCGGAATGATGGATTTCGAACCCTCCAGGAATCGCCCGAAAAAAAACCTATGTCTACTCCACTTTCGACAATGCAAACTCGAAACCCTCAAAACCTGAGCCCCGAGCCTAAATCTCTCCACCGCGTGAAAGAAACGGGGCCCTGGCGAGTTCGAGATCCGACTCTCGAGCCAAGGCGCCCTTCGGGAAGTGCCTCTGACAGGGAAAGCTTCAGCAGATCAGGACTGAAGGTCTCTGGCCCATGGACACCTTGAGCTTCTAGCAATACGTAATGGTGTAGCCAAATGGACATCTCACATGTGCTCCGAACCATGAAAGAACTCACCAAACTTCATGCCGATCTGAACCCTGCCAAACACAAGGCCTTCCGTTGTCGCAATCGCCAGTCATCATGCCGTAGAGTACACCTAAACCTGAACCCTTTCACGTCTAGTCTGCTTTTTGCAGGCATCCTCTCAGGTGACACCCTAAACCCTGGGTTGACCTGGAGCCTCGCAGCTTGTGGCTTCAGGATTCTTTAGGGCTGCATGAGGCCTGGAGGTCACATACTGGCTGGGGTTGAGAGTGGTGCATAAAATCACAGGATCCTTGTGTGCTGACGACACCCAACCCACAGGGAGCTGTTCAGTTGGGCGGGACAGAGATCCCCAAAGCCCTACACTGCGAAGCACGAAGACTTGCAGATTGCGGCTCAAGGAAATGTTAACGGTAGACAACACGGCTAGTATTAGTCACGTACATACCATACATGCTACATGGCAGAAGCGGGCGTTCAGGAGAAACTTGCAGGTTCGGATTCGAAGTTTCAAGGCTGTCGGCTTGAAGTTCGACATCGCTTCAACCTGCCGAGCACCTATGTCAAACATCTTGCCTTTGGGTCTCACGGTCAGTGTAGACATTAGCACTCGGGATTCAGGGTTCAAAGTTTTAGTTTCGGCAAGTCCGGCCCAAAAATCTCGATCGTCACGGCGTGCCTCGCGTCGCCAGCATGCAGCTTGAGCCTCGTGCTCCAAATCCCCAGGCCCCCAACCCCACTCACGACAGGCAAAAAAGACCGTGGCTGAAAAGATGACAGAGGACGTAGATGGCAAGCTCCCACGA